TAGCTGACCTGAAGGAAGTAAGAGAATAAGCCCTGCTGGTATCTGAGGTACAGCAGTGCAAAGGCTGGGGTAAGAGCATAACTGTTATGTCCAAGGAGCAGCAGGAAGCCAGTGTGACTGGAGCAGAGTGGCCAAGGAGGAAGAGCAGTAGGAAATGATGTCAGACATGTGACATGTAGTTAGATCTGGAGGGCCTGTAAGCCATCTTTGGAGTTTGACTTTTACTCTGAGGGAGAGAAAACCACCGGAGAGTTTGACACAGAGGAGTAAGTAACATAATCTCATCACTCTGGCTGCTACATGGAAATCAGATTGTAGGGGGCCAAAGGTAGAAACAGAAAGCCAGCTGGGAAGCTGTTCCAGTGATCCAGGTGAGCCCAAGGGAGTAGCAGCAGGAGTAATGAGAAGTGCTTAGATTCTGTATATATTTTGAAGGTAGCACCAACAGGATTGCCGAAGGCTTTAAATGCCGTCATAACATAATAGGTAGATGTGAGTGATAAAATTGTTAAAATAGCCTATTAGTAAGAAGTTATCAAAGGAGGAAGGAGATGGAGGGCAAGAAGTCATATCGGAATCTCCAGGGGTTGTTAAGTTTGAAAGACACATTTAATCTAATTTTATATGGGAAAAAAACTGATTTTTGAATACAAACTACAGAAAGTAAAGATGCACAAAATCTTTTCCATTGAGGGGGATGGGGGATTCAGAAGATCAAGAAGTGAGCATTGAGAAAAAGCCTACCAATTAAACCTGTGCATGGCTTCATTAATGAGTATGTTCATAGTAAATGAAAAGTATAATTTATACCTCTATAGCTATTGCCTAGTGTATGTATAACATGTTTTAAGATAGATTTTAACATAAAATATGATTTTATGGTAATGGTATAAAATAATAAACATCTACCCTCTAAAATTATGCACCTGAGAGTTATTTATATCCAAAATGGCATCATCTATAATATTACTTGGAGTAAGACAACATAAATTTGAGCATACCCTGAGCTATTACTAGTTTATTGTGACTTCTGCATTATGAGGCCTTGGACATCTTAAACGAGGTGAGTGTACATAAGAAAAGGACAGGCTGGGAGCGGTAGCTCATATCTATAATCCCAGCAATTTGGGAGGCCAAGGTGGGAGGATTGCTTGAGGCCAGGAGTTCAAGATAAGCCTGGGCAACATAGCGAGACCCCATCTCTACAATAAATTTAAAAAATTAGCTGGGTGTGGTGGTGCATGCCTATAGTCTCAGCTACTTAGGAGGCTGAGGTAAGAGGATCACATTAGCCCAGCAGTTTTCGAGGTTGCAGCGAGCTGTGATTGTGCCACAGCACTCCACCAGCCTGAGCAAGACCCTGTCTCAAAAATAAAAAGAAAAAAAAATGGACAAAGATAATTCAAATTACCCTTTTGGGCAAACCTGAAAATGGCAGAGCATTTGTTGTAAGACTATGAAGAAGAAGAAGAGGAGATATGTGATAAGGAGTGATAGGATAGATGAGTTTTGTCAAATCTGGAACTGATAGAATTTCTTGTGTTAAACAAACAAACAAAAACAATGTTAAGATCAAATTTATGAAGCCCTTGCCTAGCCAAGTAGTCTTCAGAGACACTAACTGTCACCAGACTCGATGTTCAGGTGCCTTTTCTAGGAATAACAATCAATGATAATACCTAACACTTTTGCAGCACTTGCTATACACCAAGCCCTGTTTTAAGAGCTTTGTTTGTTACTCATTTTATCTTCCCCCAAATCCTATGAAATAGTGAAATAGGTACTATCGTTATCCCAACCTTGGAGATCAGAAAACTGAAGTACACGGAAATTGTGTGATTTCCCCAAGGTTACATAATTCACGAAGGGCAGAGCTAAAAGCTATTATATAGCCTCGTGATAATGACAGGTAGAATTGGTCTGAAAAGAGCTGAGTAAACCATATACGCTGCTTCCTTCATTTAAGAGATAAGAAGCAAACCTGCACAAGTTTATTGATGAGGCCATAGGTGGGGATGAGTATGTGTACAAGGGGAGGGGCACTGAGCTCACGGGAATGGGATATGAGCTCATTTGGGTTATATATTTGTTTTAGCCCATCCATTTTTTTTTCTAATCTCTTGTATACCGGCTATTGGGTTTGTGGCATTCTTAGAAAGTTCACTTCTTTGAGACTAAAATAAACTATGCTTTGGTAATGTCTGACTTACAACATTCTATATTTGAGGGAATTTTATATATTATCATTACAAATTACACATGTAATTTTGTCTTTTTTGATGATGAGGAGGAGGTGGGGAAAATGGTGAATGGGTATGATCTGCCCATTTGGTTCTGCAGAATTCCTATAGTTAAATTAGGCATCTACTTTTTTCATAATTTTTATTGTGAATCTTTTTACATCTCTGAATGTAAAAGAAAATTATACCTTTGTACAAATGCTTGAATAAATAAAATACAGAATTGAAATAGATGCCAAAAGAAGTTCAAAATGTAGTGTGAAAACTCATGGGGCTTTATAGTAGTATTATACTTTGTAATGGATATAATTGAGTAGTAATCTCCAGATTAGTAATCTAGAGAAAGAAAGAGACCCAGGACATACTGCTCAGGATAAGTGAGAAAAATCTTTATCAAATAAGGCCCCCATGTGGCTGTTTAACGACATGCTGTACATGCATGCAAAAAATTAAAAAAAAATGCTTGTCTTGTGGCAAAATCTTGTTAAGCAAGTACTAAACATGTCAACTGAATCCTCCTGAAAGTAGCATTTGAAAAATAACATTATTACCTAATTAATCATTTAAGATGGAGTTTTACTAAATTTTCAGTGAGAGTTCACAGTACAAATAGCATGAAAGTATACTGGGGGCTAGAAATCCAATTTTGAGAATAACATCTTACTTTCCTTATTCTCACAGGACCTTTCACTTCTGTCTTCTTGATAAATGCTTCAGAGTCATATGTGTTCTCTCCCTCCTTCAGGACATATCAAACATGGGTGTCCAGGAATTTTCTTGATATCTAATGGCTTTCCACTCCTCCCTATGCAGTTTTGATCTGTGGTTAAACAATAGCAATGTTAATTTGAGTAGTATTGTCATTGCCAGTGTAAATATTTTGCTCCGACTGCCTGCATAGCTGGTAGCCATCCTGATGGCTATTTCTGAATTAATAGTAGTTGCACTAGCAAGAAGACATGATTTTAGTTGTAGCTCCCAGAGGGGGAAGCCTCCTTACAAGTCTCTATGTCATAGTAGAGCAGTTAAGAAATATTCAGGAACAAGCTTGCTGACTAGCCATAAACACCCACATATGGAAGAGTCCCCTGATTTTATTAATATGAAAGATAAAGTTTAAAGTCTAAATTATTTTCTTAAAATTTTAATGTGTGGCTATTACAGTAAATTAGTTAAGACAGATCTTTTTCCCCCACATAGATTTTTATTCTACTGTGTTTAGACTTGGTAGCTGAAAGAGATGAGTCTCTGCCCTGATGATTTTAAACAGAAATTTTTAAATTTCAAAAACCTCAGAAATTACCAACCTACAGCTTTATTATACAAAACTCTTTTAAAAGCATCCAATATAGAGTAACAGTACTTCTTGTATTACTGTGTACAATATGTAAGTACAGAGATATCTACACTAAACTATATATTCCGTGACATTCGTCGACGGAAACTTCAAAACCAAAGGTGGAAGTTATATGGATTTTGGAGCCATTAAAATTGTGAAATTTCAGTAAAAATAATGCCAAATACGACTTCAAATTAAATTCAAGGGACATTTATTGAGAACCTGTTCTACGCACAGCACTGTTAGGTACTATAGGGGTCGTAGTCATTAAGGATTTCACTCTAAAATCTGGGCATATTGACGCGAGGGGAGGTAAACAGCAGGCTTAGGTGAGCGCCAGAGGTCGTGGGCTGAAGTGGGGACCCTCTCGCAGGTAAGGCAGGAGGCGTGGCGGAGAAGCTCTGCAAAGTGGGCGCTACCGAACACGGGCATGGAGGGCGGCGCTCCAGGCCTTTCTAAGGCAGCAGCCAGCCCGGCAAAAGCCGAATTGCCCCTAAGCTCACTGCCCATCTCGCCACCCAACCCATTCCATTGCCCAAGACGCTAGAAGATGGTACACTCGCACCGCGCTCGTTCTTCCGCGGTCAGTGCCGGTTGCAGGCAGTGCTGGAGGCTGCAGTGAGGGCGACGTTGGTGGAGGGTCAAGAAATCCCGCCACCAGACGCCTCAGGGATATTCTGCAGGCCATTGTGTAGCTGTTTATCAGGCTCCGAGAAGGCGTTAGACAAAAGGAAGGCCCCCTCCCTTCTTGGTTGTCTGGCTCAGGGTACGGTGCGGGCGCAGGCGCGGCTGCATTCTCCGCACGGAAGCTAACGGAAGCCACGAGACTGGGGATCAGCCGTTAAAACTTGGCTCCAGGAAAGGGCTTGTCATCGGCTCCGAGCACTCTCGAGCCCCGCATCCCACAATCCCTGCGTGGCGACTGGCTCCAACACGCCGGCGGCGAGAACGAGCCCGGCGTCTTGACAGCTGCCCACGCGTCGGGGCGGTGCTCGAGCACGTTGCTTTAAAAGGGCCGCGCGGCCGACCCCGCCTCTCGCGCGCTGCAATTGGCTCCAGCTGGTGCAGCATTGCTCCGATAGGCGCAGGGAGGGCGGGGCGGCGCGGGCGAGGCCCCGGGCTTCGCCGCTGCGGTCCCGACTGGGGCGCGAGTTGCTGCCGAGTGTAAGCGGTTGGGTGTGTGGGGCCAGCCGGCTTGAGCGCGCGCTGGCTGTCACGGTCCCCAGGGAAGTAGGGAAGCGCCCGACGCCGACCTGCACGCGCCGCCCAGCGGCCGGCGGCGCGCGGGAGGGCAGAGGTGGTGCGTGCGTGTGTGCGCGCGAGCGCGTGCGTGTGTGGCGCTGGGGCGCCGAGGGGAGCCGTCAGCCCCGGGGCGCTAGTCTCCGGCTGTCTTGCACACCCTCCCTTCCTCCCCGCTCCTTCCCTACATCCTTACCGTGCCTCCGCTGTCGCGTACCGAGCGAGAGCCCAGGCAAGCAGGTGTTGGGAGGGGGCGTGCAGGGTCGCACGAGACAAAGGGGGCGCGGAGGTCAGCCCGCTATGGCCTCCCGGAGCCCGGGGGGTCTGAGCGGGAGCCGCGGCGGCGGCGGCAAGAAGAGCCTGAGCGCCCGCAATGCTGCGGTGGAGAGGAGGAACCTGATCACCGTATGCAGGTACGGCGGCCCAGGGCGAGGGGAGGGGGCCGTCGGCGCCGCGGGCTGAGAGCTCTGGGCGTGTGCGCGGGTCCCTGGGGGTCCCGGGGACTACGGGGTGTGCCCGCCGCCTGTGCCACGCTGCGAGTGGGAGAAGGGCCTGAGGTTAGGCACCGCTGAGGCCCTGGACTTCCCATTAGTTCCAGTGCTGGAGGCACCCGAGGGTAGGGCTTGGGGCGGGGCTGGGGGAGGATTTGTTTTGAATGTATAGTCTAATGCCAGAGTAAAACAGGAGGGCCTGGAGGAAGAACTCATTCATTTAGTGCATATTAAACTGTCAGCCAGCTTTAGGTAAAGTAGTCATTACTGTGATTATTTACTGTGTTGCCCTCAAATCGGAGTGCATTTCGTTGTTTTGGCTTGTTTACATTTATCTTCAGACATTTTATTCCAGAAATATTGAGTGCCTGCTACACGCCAGCCTCTCTGTGTGTGTGTGTACACGTGTGTACTATCCACTTCTAAACTACAGTGCTAGTGCTGTTTCTGCAGTTATTGAGTGGGACTGTGGAGGATACCTGGTTTTTCTGTCAATGATTTATTTATTTTAAGGTCTGCCTTTCCTTAAATGTGTTCTAACTATAAATGTAGTATTCCCTTACTTTATAAAGGGATAATTGCTATGTATAATAAGCCTGGTGTTCAGACATAACTGTTTTTTTTTTTTAATATACTGATCTATTTTCTTTCTTATATCTAGGTCCTAAGAAAAATTGAAATCCTAGGCATCCATTTCTTAGGAACTTCTCTGAAGGATTTAGATGTTTTAAAATTACTGTTCTATCAAACCCCGGGAATCATTAGCTGCTGATAATCCTCTAAGAATCAGAGGATTATGAAACCTTTTCCTCCTTTGCAATTTATATCTGAATGGGTTTTTTTTCTGGTTTCCCTTTGTGTAAAAATATGTCTAGCATCTTAAGTAAAAATACAGATATTTCTATTAGGACTTATATTCAATAACTTTAAGTGACTTTTTGTTTTTTAACTTGGATTATTACAAATGTTCGTCTCTCTAGCAGGCAGATCTGCCTCATTGACAGTTATGGCACTGAGTTTTAAATAGTAAAGTAATACGGAATCTTAATTTACTATTTGTTCTGTCTAGGATACAACTTCTTGAGGGAATTAGGCTTTATTAAATTTTCTTAAATTTAGGCAATTTTTAAAGTTAGGTAAATAGAACAATAAGGCTAATTTTCTTAACTATAATTTCCAGATATTAAAAAGAATTACTTTTTTTTAAAAAAAAACATGGAGATAGTTCCAACATACACAGTGATTCTCGAGGTAAAATGTTTCACAAAGCTCCATCAGAGTTAAACTCTACAAGGACAGTGATCTCGTCTGCTTTTTGCTTGGTCTTTTTCAGATTCTTCGCAGTATAGCATCTGACACTCAATAAATACTAATAAGTGAATAAATTCAGTTGTGGGTACTATTCCTTTTGCTTCTTCGTTTTTGTCTTGGCTGGTGTTAGATCATGAACTGTTCATTTGCACCCTACCATAGACAGTTTGAGGAGAAGAAAGGGATTTGTATTTCAACTTTATTTAAATTAAATTTTTACCTATCTTGAAGAAATTCCAGTAACATTACACTGATTTGCATAGACAGTTACCTGGGCTAGTTGTATTTTCATTATTATTATTTCTATAATTATTGTTTTCTATTGCAAAATGAATATATGCTGACTTTTGTTACAGTTTACACATAGATTTAGTATAGTAGCTAAAGTAACTTTCAATTTCTGGCTTAGATTTTAATTTGCGTAGTTATTTATGTGGATATTAAGGCTGTTCTTCATGTCCAGATAGTTGATGATGTATATAAATTATCCATGTCTAGTAATGGGGTATATTTGTTAGGCTCTATCTAAATGACTTTTACTTTTTGAAAAAAAAGTCATTATGTGTCATTTGTACTTTTAAGTAGTCCCACCATGAATTCAGGAAAACGAACAAAGAAGTATTTATGCATTTATGCTACTTTTTAGGATCACCAAACCCTGGGTCTCTTGCCCATGTGTCTTATGAATTCATTTTTTAATTTTTATATCTCAAATCAGAGATGATTTGATATTTAAGTTAGGAAGAAGTTGGTTTAGTAGAAATATAAATGGGTTTTAAGTGGGCTTTGTCATTTAACTAGTGTGCCCTTTAACAAGCCATGCAACCTTCTCATTTTTTAGTTTTATCTGTAAAATAGTGCTGGACGAGATCATTGGTAATCTTCAGTGATAGCCCTAAAATAAATAATGGTCTTCAAGAAAAATGTGTTAATATTTGGTTTTGAATTTTTCCAAATATGAGCAGGGTAATAGTAGTAGATATACGTTTATAGTAGGTAGATGTGAATGTGCATTTTTCTCTGTAAAATAAAAAACATTTTGAACTGTGCCTTCCCATTTTGTGATTCTCTACTGATGTTCTGGAAAAATCAGTTTACAAACCAAAACAAAATCCCACCACCGTATATCGTTCTAGTGTACCTATTAATACTAATATTTAAACAGTAATACTTTTCCTTATCCCTTAAGCAATTAAGACATATTCTCAGTATAGGTTTAAAGCCTTACATAAGAACACAATTTTTCAGGTTGAAAGCTGTTTACAAGTACAATATTGTTACTGTTTTGAACTTTGAAATTGGACTATTTGGTTAGGTAGGACAGTCAGGAAAAGAGCTGAATTGAATTTTGGTGCACTGTGATTGTGTATGTATATGTAATTATTTCATCAGTTTTTTTCCCCAGTGAACACTTAAATATTGTAGACTAAAAATATTTGTATGGTACTTATTTCAGCAAATAAGTCCTATTTTATCATATTTTTTCACAGATTGTGGTGAAGAGAAAGTAGGTCATCTGAGGACTCTAAATCTTCCACACTCAACTCCAAAATAGTCATACACTGACTTTGGCTCTGAACACCAACTAGTATTTTCCCTGCACATTCTCTATCATTTAGAACTTTGAAAAATTAAATTGTTAAAGTCCTTCACATTTTTTAACTTGAGTTTTTCATCCATGGAAAATCAAGTATCAGTCATCTTTTTGTCCTTTTTAAGCTTCATGGTTTGTATTCGTTTGACTTTAGTTCTGTTGGCAGAGGATTCTAGATTCTCTTTCTGTGGATTAATAATATCTTACGAGCATGTTATTAAAATATAAATGTTAAATATATATGCATAAATAATATAACATTTGTCAAACTTTTGAATCAATACTTTAAGAGAAACTCCCCACAAAAAGTCATAATTTTTCAGTTTTGTGGATAGAAAGGACTAACGAGAGAGATTTAAGGAGATAGTGTGATAAGTGGGCTGGAGACAAATGATTTTGCAGTTAAAGTACTTATGTACATTGTCTTAGTTTTTTATAGGTCAAGATATTATTTCAGAACTTGAATATTATTTCAAATTACATTCACACCCCATTTTTCTAGTGTCTTCAGGGAATGAGGAGGTCATATTTTCTATGTAACTAATGTTTGAGTTAAGCTTAAAATTGTTCCATCCACTGTACTTTACTCAGCATTTATTGTGGAGTGCCATCTTCTGTGTAACTGAAGCTTCTGATTTAAGTGCTCGAATTTAAGCCACAATAAGTAATATTTAAAACATTTTGGATGAGTTGCTTTTAAAAAAATAATACACGTTTCCCTACCTTCTTTAAAAGACTACATAGCATATGTGAAGTGTAACTGAATATTATTGGCAATATAGAATGTCTTAGTGTGCTTTGTGTTGCTACAAAGGAATACCTGAGGCTGGGTAATTTATAAAGAAAAGAAATTTATTTAGCTCACAGTTCTGAAGGCTGTATAAGAAGCATGGAGCTGCCATCGGCTGGGCTTCTGGTGAGGACTTTTGTGCTGCATCAAAACACGGTGGAGAAGATCAAAGGGGAAGCAGGCGTATGCGAAGAGGGACTAAACGCCAAGGGGGTGTCCTGGCTTTATAACAACCCACTTTCTGGGAAACTAATTCATTGCCCCTGTCTCACTAGAGGGAGAACTCACTCAATGCCTGAGAATGGCACCAAGCATTCGTGAGGGATCTGCCCCATTTACCCAGACCCCTCCCACAAGGCCCCACCTCCCAACACTGACACGTTGGGGATCAAACTTCAACATGATATTTGGTGGGAACAAACAAACTATATCCAAACTATACCATAATCCTTTGAGTAATTTTAAATTCAGTGACTCACTTTTCTTGTTACTATTTGCTTGAGTAGGCTTCTTAAGTCTGTTCATACCTTGGCTGTAGTGATTATAATATTTTTGGATAAAGCTCTTTTAGTCATTCTATGTGTAGTAGAACTTTGGGTTGAGATTTTTGATCAACATTAGTTATATATTAATAGTTTTGGAGCAAGTTCAGTATCATTTCTAAGAATTCTCCGTGCCCTATTAGTAAGTGCTCACAATGGAGGTAATATGATCTTTTCAGCTGTTAGTCCTAGGTAGACTTTTCAGCATTCACAAAAGCTGAACTGGGTTCATATTAATTGACAACAGAGCACAGCTGTCACCTAGGCATTTACTAGGGGATATTTATTTTAACTTCCTTGCTGCTTGATACATATCAAAAGTTCAGTTGAGAGATAATATTCAAGGGGGAATGTTTGAAGCTTATCTACTCTTCTATTCACTCTTAACAGGTTTATAAAATATGTTACTGGTTCAGTCCAAATTATCAGAGAGCAGCTGTGTATGTAGACTGCATTGCTCTGTGCTCTCCTGTTCCCCAGTTGCTTTTACCCAGTTATGTATTGGTAAGATTCCATCAGCCTAGATTGAGGGTCATAATAAGAAGCAATCACAGAGGTCTTGAAGTTATTGTCACGAACATTATTTATTATGTCTAAAAATGGCTTCTTGTGTGAAGACTTCTGTGAGAAATATTTGATTTTAGTGCCAACAATTGTATTTCTAGGCAAGTGATCTATTTATATC